ATTTTAATAATTAATAAGTAATTTTTAGATTTGTGATCCAGATAAAATAAATATAAATAAAGCGATTTGAATAATATAGTATAAGTATTATGTTTTATTTACCTTTGGTAGTATATTTTTTTGAAGTTGTAATTGATCAACGAATAGCCTAACACTATTTCATTAACAATATTATACTAAATTTTTTATAATTTAATATTTAGTTTAGAAGTTTTTTCTTCCAAATACTAATATGAATGCAGAGAAGTCTCTTGTACAAATGCTTTTAGTTTTTTCTTATACGATAGATAATATATATAATTATAATTTTTATTAGTTTATGTGCTAGCAATATTGCATTTATTACATGTATTAACTATCGGCAAATAAATAAATTCGTTAACAAACAAAGTTTTTTAATATGTAATTTCAAGTTTTTAAACAATGTTAGTTAACTGTATTTTGTTGTTTAACATAAAAAAATAATGTTTATTTACATGTTAGTTAACAAAATTCATTGTTCAATACAAACAAACGCTGTTTTAAAACATGTTAGTCAACAAAATTTGTTGCTTAATGCATTGTTATACTAATTTTTCAACGTGTTAAGCTATGAAGGGTTTGTTTTCCTACACTTTTGAGTATTCACTAATACTGTGCGTTAGTTAATATTTATCAAATGCTTTTAAAACTTTCTGATATTAGACTTTAATTAAATTTTAATTGAATAACGATTTTTTATTTAATATTAATTAGGCGTAAAATATGATTAGAAAGACCAGATTTTGTATTTCTGCCATGCTTTGCACATCAGGCCAATCTTTGCATTGGTGATATTTTTAGATATTTATCAGAATACAAACATATAGCAAAGCAGGCAATTGAAATAGTAGCATATTTTACTGACCGAAGACATACAAAAGCAATATCATTACTTCATAATGAACAACAAAGAATTTATAAGACAATTTATAGCTTTGTTTGTCTTGTAATTACACGATAGAATTCATATTACTATTGTTTCGCCGCCCTTGTTAGAAGTAAACGGGCTTTGCAATTGTATTCAATTCTTCATTTAAATTCAAATGAGCTATCAAATAAAGTATAATTTGCTATAAATAGCACAACATTTTGGAAGAATGTTGATGAGCTTGCCGATTGTTTGCTGCCATTTGTTAGTATTTTAGATTACCTTTAACATGATGCTGCAAATCTTTTTGATATAATATATTCATTCGCATATATTGTACAACAGTATAAGGATGAAACTAGCGGATTTGGTTATGCAATTTTATAGCAACTTGAAAAACATTGGGTTGACTGAAAACAGCCATTGCTTTTTTTGGCAGTTATATTTAATCCACACTTTCGAGTTCATGCTTTATCAGACCAAGCTTTTTTTAGTCTTGAACGAATAGCCAACTAGACTAAATATTATTATGAAAAGTGGTTTAATAAAAAACCAAAACATGTCGCATTGGAATTAACAGAATATTATATGAAGCGAAGCATTTTTACAAATAAACAGTTTAATAATACTCTTGAAGCAATTTCAGAAGAACATAATAATGTACAAGGTAAAGTAGCAAATAACGTAGTTGGGCTTGCACTACTGCAGTATTGGAAGTTCGCTGCATTGAATCCAAAAGAAATCAGCATAGTTGCACAAAGGCTATTCAGTATTAAAGTCAATTCAGCTCTATGTGAACAGCTTTTTTTCGCATGGGGTAGTTTCATAGTTCTCAATGATGTTGCCTTAAGGTAAGGAAGGGTTGAGTTATGATTTTAATGCTAAAAATTAGGTCTAAAAAAAAAAAAAAAAAAGTTCAATTTTTAGCATTGGCTGTTTTTTTAGTACTAGCCATTATGCTATGACAATAGTAGTTATTGAAGCTTTTATATAATTGTATTTTATTCTGCAGGTAAAACCAGTCTTTCAAATGACACAGATCGTAGCAGAAATAGCATGGGAGAAACGTCAAGAAAAAATTGAGATGGTTCAAAATATAGCCATTAGGAATCAAATTATAAGTTCAGCTAATTATAATATACAAGCATTTTTGCATAAACAATTAGAATCTGTCACAATTAATCTCAGCGATATTGTAAATGTTTTAATGCTTGCTGATAATGAAAATAACAGTGAAAACATAACCAAAGAGATTAATAATGAGGAATATGATAATAGCACACATAATAGTGATAATGATACAGATGAAGACCTGACTAATGGTAAATCAATCATTAAAAAATGAACTGAAATAGATAAAGATGAAGAGCTTGAAGAAAATGAGGAGCTTGAAGAAAATGAAGAGCCTGATGAAATAGGCATGGGTACCTTAGATACTGCTAACAAACTTAATTGTTATCCGGCCAATCATCAAAATTCAAAAATCGAATTACAATACCTTTTTTCGCGTGTTTTAACCCAACCATTGTTCGTTCGTATTATTGAACAAGAAGTTGGAAATATCAAAGCAACACAATATGGAAATGTCGAAGCAACACAATAGGTGGGTTGTATTTGAATACAAAATAAATAATTAGAGTTTAAATTTTATAAATTTGTAATTTTTACTTATATTTAAATTAAAAAATGTTTTGTCAAACCAGAACTTACGCATGGATCTATTGGCCTGCAATTGATTCAAAATAATAAAGCTTAATAGGTATATATGAAAAAATTGTAAAGTTTAAATATAAATGAAAAAGCTTGTGATATATAGAAAAAAAATTAAAAAATTAAAAAAAAAAATGCAAGAAAAAAATGAAAAATAAAAAAAATAAAAAAAAATAAAAAACAAAAAAAAAAAAATTTATAAGAATATGTAGTATATAAATATGGTTATTATAAATTTTTATTGGACATTGTGAAAAGTTTTGAATAAATAAATATTTGAATTTCAATGACTAGATTTCCAGATGGAATATTCGTCACATAAGATTCTTATTTTAAAAGTTTAAGAATGAATATTAAAAATTTTCTTGCAGAAATATCTCATTTAAAAATCACACTTGTAATAATTAGTGCAGTTAGAAAATGACTAAGATATATGTATAAGTAGCTTTGTAATACATAACGCTGTTTAAATTGAATTTAAAGCTTTTCATAAATATGCACTAAGTGGTATCATAGTCAAAACAAATACACAGTATACTTGGTAAAAGGGATCGATCTGGATCTCTAAGATAATACTTAATAATAATAATAATAATAATAATAATAATAAAAACGATAAAGGTATATGTGAATTTTGGTATATGTCTTCAAATTGAAGAAAGTCGGAATGAACAAGTTGTTATATATATGTGATCTACATAATTCGGATTAATTATACATCAGTTGATAATACAGAATAGTTTATCAAAGTATGATAAGAATATACATGAAATATTAGGCAATAAATATGTAATCAATTTAAGAGTTAATGATTGTATAATTGAAGTATGATGTAATAGTTTAGGTCAAATTAGATGAAAGTCAGGGAAGATCGATCGGATTAATTATGCATTAGTCGGTAATACAGAATAGTTTATCGAAGTATGATAAGAATATGCATGAAATATTAAGCAATAAATATATAATCAATTTAAGAGTTAATGATCATATGATCGAAGTATAATGTAATAGTTTAGATCAAATTAGACGAAAGCAAAAGAAATAATAAAGGTTCAGGTTCTTTTCTTAATTAATAAAGAAAACAATACTTTTCTTGTAATTAATAGTGGTCAACTTCTGAGCTACGTAGTTATTTAGTGGTGCAAGTCACTAATTAACCCATGACAGTGGATTTATAAGTTAGTTCAAAATTTGGGTGAATTTAGAAGTTGTTTCTAAATCTAGTAAGACTCCTTACAACATATAATTAAGATGCCATGAACGAAGACATAAGGCATATTTCTTACAAGATCAAAACCTATAACTCATTATTGAATATGATCGATTAGTAATGTTGCATAATCGATTGATATATTAAGTATGTCATAGTAATAGCTATTTAAGGGTGTTCTCAAGCACCTTACTTAATGAATCGGAAGTAAATTTCAAACTAGCAAGATATGAACCACCTTTTTTCTTCAAAAATTTATTATTGATAAAGGTCACTCAAGCATTACTTTACATTTTTGTATTTTTTGAATATCAATTCTTAACAAATTTTTAACCAGTCTAAGGCTGTTCTCAAGCATCTAAATCAATTGATCAGATAATAATCGTTATAGAATTAAATACTTGAGTATATTTTTTCTGTTTTTTATAATGTTCGCTATACTATCTAAAAAAAACTAATAAAAAAATTTCTTTTCGATCAACCGTTAAAGTTTAACTTTAGTTACGTTGGCTCCTCCTTTTAATGATTTTAACAATTTAAAACAGTAAGTTTTTATTATAGTTTGGTTGAACGTTAAAAGGTTGTTGTATTTATTATGCTCATATTAATGTATTGATTATTCGTTTTAAAAGCTTCAAACATTAAATTTGTTGAGAATTAATTATTTATTATGTTTAATATATAAAAAATATAAAAGTAATGCTTGAGCAACCTTTATCAATAGTAAACTTTTGGTGGCTTGTATCTCGTTGATTTGTTTATCGAAATGATAACTCACTTGGTTAATTTATTCAATTTCCAACTAATTAAAATTTTACTTCCGATCCATTAAGTAAGGTGCTTGAGGACACCTTAAATAGCCTCTTTATTTTAATGCTCACTTTAAAACAAATAATCAATACCTTGATACAAATGTAATAGATAGGGTCTATCTTTTAACCTTTAATAAAACTATTATGAATACTGCTATTCTGTTTTTTGCTCTATATTTAATAACAATGAAGGTTATAATTTTTCAAAAAGAGTAAAAAGAAAATTTGGCTTTGTTTTTAAAAAGTTTGGCTTACTTATTACTAAAATTAAATAATAAGATTTAATTGGTTATAGATACTGTAAATAGATATTTTTTACAATACTAAAAAAAGATTTATAAACTATATAAACAATAAAATAATATTTTTAATAGTATTGTATATTTATAGTTATATTTTTTAAAATATATATATCAAAAAAATTTAACAATAATAATAAATTATATATTTTTGTTATTTTAAAAAATTTTTTTATAATCTTAGCTTCTTTTTTTTTTTTTTTTTTTAAGTAGTCTTGTCTTTATTTATTCAAACAACTTTCTAGACTAATAACGTATACATAATCTCTTTGAAGTTTAATATTCTGATCTAATAAAAACTCACCAAGCCGAAGCCCAATACGACCCGCTAAAACAACAATTAGTCTCTCTTAAGATCCTTAACTTGCTAAGGATTTCGTACTAACTTGAATACACCTCTTGATTACTGACAGGTTGTTGTTTACCTATGTCAAGACTGGATTTTTTCTTTTCTAATTTTTTCTTTTTTTTAAAGAGTACGAGATAAAGGGAGGTAAAAAACAAAAAGAATTTTTCCAAGAAAACGACCAAAAAAGAAAAAACAAAAGAAAAAGAAAATAAAAAGTACAGATTGTAAAAAAAGAAAAAAACAGACAGGAAGAAATAAGTCCTAACAGAAATATCAGGTTGTTGTAAAAATTA